TACTATGTGTTTTAAAATAGGGACATATCCCTTAAATCTGTTCATTTAAAGATGTAACTAGAAAAAATATATATATAATTGCATGACTAAAATTCATTAATTATGGGTAAAAAAGAGATTTGAAGATGAAGAAAATTGAGTTAGGAGAACATGAATACATACACATTTGCCTAATGTTTGTGGGTGTATGCTGTGTAAAAAAAAAAAAAAAAAAAACTTTGTGGTTGTAACACTCAAATATTTGCTGATGGCAGAGTCTTTTTTGGGACCTGTAGACTGCTTAGCAAACTGCTATGTGTTCCAGATGTTGTACGCTACCTGTATAAAATGTTAGAATAATAGTTAGTGCAATTTTATATTATAACACATCTAAAATGTGCTGATCCATTATACCAATATTTTTCTTTATTGTTTTATTTATTTTTTCATTTCAGATGTTTTATATATATGAATGTATGCTACTTAACTGATTTACTATGTTCATTTCAGATAAGTAATTCTTACATTTTACTGCTAATGCTCTGTGACGCTACCATCTGTATGTATAAATCTTGCTTAAACAATTAAGTGTGTAAGTTTTGCTTACACAGAAATCTTCTCTTTAGTAGACTTTTTGCATTCTTGGACCGATTGATCAAACTGCAATATTACTTATTACATGTCACATATGGCATTATTGCTTTATATTGTTTAATTAGTCAAAGAGTAGCTTTATAAATGTATTGAGTTTTGTCGTTGTCAGTTTAAAACCTGATTCACTAAGCCTAGTCAATAAGTGAAATTGCTAAATTTAGACATCACAATTATGTAAAAAAAAGTAACATCCTTCTTCTCACAAAGTTACTAGCATGGCACGAGGCTTAAAATGTTACTAAACCCACAACAGTAAAATCGGTCTGTATATGCAGTAAAGCATGCTTGTTATACTCACTGTGGAACCTAAGGGGTTAATCCTCTGCATTGTGTAAAAAGGCTGTATGATCCTTTCTTCTCTGCCCCTCCTCTTGTTCAAATGACCACCTGATACAAACTGAATCCATAGCCCCATGCACATGCTCAGTTTGTTGTGTATTGCTAGAGAGGTTTTTTCTCTTGGGAGAGTGCTTGTGATTAGCACAGGGCCAATCAGCACTGTCCAGACAGAGGTCAGGGGTTCTGTATTCTCCTAGAGCAGAAAGAAAACGCCTCCTACAAGCTTTAACCAGTGTTCTGCTGAAGTCACAAGACTGCTCTAAATGCTGATGAGAAAATGTATTTAGCAGTTTATATTTGCTAAAATAATTGCATTTCCATGTTCTGTGTACTGTGGGAACCAGATATAGTGAATGCAGTGTCCTGTGTTTAGTATCACTTTAAACCTATCAGGTCAGCCTGGAAGCAAATTTAAGACTCCTTGCCGTGCTGACACACACCTTCCTGTCGTTTTTGCATTCAGGTGGATTTATACCTTATTTTTTTCAGGACAAACTGGGCTTTCTTTTGGTGGTAAATGGTAACAGATATCTCTTGATATTTGTATTATTATTATTATCAAATAAATCTGGCCCAAAATAGAAAAAAAAAAAACATTTGTTTAAATTTGGTTGAATATTTTTTGCTATTACCATAACCTGCCACTGAAAAAAAAACAAAATAAATTTGCCTTCTCCTGATGATTGCAGCAATACCACATACTGTATGTGTATGCTAATTGTTGTTTGTACCTGTAGTACAGTCCAGAAATTATACTGCACATTTTGCTTTTTTTATCCAACCTAAAACAAAACTGACTCTGATATTATTCTAAAAAATTTTTTTTTTTAGTTCTGCTCAAAATATATTGCCCTGACCTTGACTTTGACCATTACTTGATCCAAACAGTAACCCTGTCACTGATTTAGATCAAACTTTGATCTAGCTATTCTTTTCTTTACTTTTTTCTTTAACAGCTTCCTAACCATGCTATAGCCGAAAAAGGCAGCTACAGAGTGGTTGTCCAGTTCTTGGAGGGCATCCATGGACATCCTCCCAGGCCATGCCCCTTGCATGGCCCCAGCGCTGTCTGTGATCGCTGTTTCCTATGGACACAGTTGATCACGTGATGAGATAAAAGGCCAATCACAGTGGCCTTTTACCACATGATCAGCTGTGTCCAATGACACCCATCAGTGCCCAGCAGTGCCAAGCATCAGTGCAGCCCAGCAGTGCTCAGAAATGCCACCCATCATTGCCCAGCAGTGTCACCCATCATTGCCCAGGAGTGCCACCCATTAATGCCCATCAGTGCTGCCCAAAAATACCACCCGTCAGTGCTCAACAGTGCCACCAGTCAGTGCTGCCAGCCAGTGCTGCCAGCCAATGTCATCTGTCAGTGCCGCCAGCCAGTGCTGCCTATCAGTGCCCATCAGTGTTGCCTATCGGGGCCACCTATCAGTGCCCATCATTGCTGCATATCAGTGCATCATCAGTGCCTCCTCATTAATGTCCATCAGCGCCACCTCATCAGTGCCCATCAGTATAGGAGAAAAATTACCTGTTTGCAAAAGTTCATAATAGAAACAAAGAAAAACTTTTTTTTCCAAATGTTTTGCTCTTTTTTGGTGTATAATGCAAAAAATGAAAACCCCAGTGGCAAGTAAATACTACTAAAAGAAAGCTCTATTTGTGTGAAAGAAATTATAAAAATGTCTTACCCCTTCCTGTGCAGGCCAATTTTCAGCTTTCAGTGTGGTTGCACTTTGAATGACAATTGCGCGCTCATGCAACACTGTACCCATATAAGTGCCCAGTAGGCAAGTGGTTAATGGTTTAATTTTTTCTACACACTTTTGTTTATTTTCATCTTTCACCCTGCAATTCAGAGCAAAAGAAAACACACAGAAACACAGGCTGCACAGTGACTGATCACTGTGATAGTGAATCAGAGGTTATCACAGATTTCCCAGGAACCAGGGGTCTTGGTGAGAGCCCAATCTCTGTGCTAGGAGTGCAGTGCACTTCCAGTACAGAGACAGATACACACATACAGTAAATGGCCCCAATGAGAAAGGCCCTCTTCCATGAGGCCGCATATATGTCTGATTGTTGGGAAAGGGTTAAGTAAAACACTTACCTTTTTTATTTTTTTTCACCAGTTGCAGACAGCAGATAGAGCTCTTCTAACCTAAAGATTTTTGCATTGCATATTGAAAAGAATGTGTATTTTGAGCCTGTTTCTGTCTTTTTTCATAATGCTCTCTGTGCAGTCTCAATTAGAAAAACAAGCCAAAAGTAAGCAGGTATTGCTGTTCTTTCTTATAAGATCCCAAAAAAGTAATATAAAAATGACAGAAAAGATTAAAGATTACATTTTCTTGGTGCTGAATGGCAAATAGAATGGTAACAATGTTTCAGAGAACCCAGACATTTGATGACTGCCAGCACCAGATCATGAGTTTAGATTTGGAAGACTACTAGTTCTAATTAAGGGAAAAAATATGAATAATATTTGATTATTCTCACATTTGAAATTTTAATATACTGCACTTGTGTAAAACAATATTTTTTTAATTACTGATCTGAAATAAACACCTTAAACCAAGAGTAGAAACGATAAATGGCATTATATTGTATGCTTTGCAATTTGTTGCTAATCAGTACTGTTTATGTAAAATATTAAGCTACTTAACATATGAACATTAAAAGGTTTCAGTATTTCATGTGATATGGCCTAAGATTCAGGTCATTTTTTGCCATGGGTATATATAATTTACCAGTGCATGGCCTCATTAAGTGATACATAGGTACAAGCTGTGGGTGCATCACTTAAGCTTATAGCTGGTGATTTGGAGCAAAGAGCAACAGTATGCAATAACCCGTATCAGCCTATCTCATATTAGCTTTTAGCGGGTCACTGTAGAAAGTCTAATGAAAGCTAATCTGCTCACAGTTGCTTCAGTTTAATGCACATCTTTATTCTTGGCTACATTGTGTTAAATAAATTTGAGTCTAACATCCCAAAGAATATATAACCTATTTTCATTCTGCTAGTTACTACTTGTTCTAAAATGAAAAAAACTTACACATTTAAAGGAGTGTATCTCACAATGAACTAGGGGGGGATATCCTCCTGCGCTTGATATGGGTAAGTCCCTATCTACTAGCTGCAATCACTCAACCTCAGCCAATAAGTCATAAATACCATGCATTAAATAGTGAAACGCTCCCAAATTATCTAAACAAATTCCCTCTGTGCATACCATAAATACCCACTGAACTTAAAAATAATTGATACTATAAGGTGATAAAAACCATATAAACTAAATCAATTAGTGAAAAAATAAAATGCATAAACACCTCTCATATATACCAATTATTATTGCCTCTTAATAGATCTGTGATGGAAAATAATGAATATAAAATCCATGATGAATACTCAAATATCAGTGATAGAATCAATTATCATAATAATACTAATTCATAATAAAAAATCTGACAAATCGTGATAATTGTGACAAACCTATAGATCAAAAATAGTGATTCTGCAATAAATTATGTAATACATATATCTTGTGATAAACCCTATAACAGAATAAAATAAAAATAAATTGCTACTTAATTCAGTGATAAAAATGAATGAACTCAGTGTTCAAAATAAACTCAAATAGTCCATGCAAAATGTGAAAACACTCTGTGATCTTCACTTCTAGTGCTCAAAAAGGAATCCTCCAATGGCAGCAATGCCTGCTCACCTCCCCTCCTCGACCCACACAGGGCCACAAGGCAAAAAACTCCCTCAAAGGCAATCCTTTCCTCCAGGCAACTCAGCAAGGGACCTCAGGACTTCCACTCCACCTCCTATATCGCTTTACTCCTGAGATTGTGAGGAGAATGCTTGCCAGTCCTAGAAGGCCAACCACCACCCCAAACACGATAATCCAAGACTGATTAGAAGAACTGGCTACTGGAGCAATTGTAGCGGGTATATCAACAAACTCTAAAGTGTTGTCATTTAACAGAAAAGCGCTGTTTATCCTGTTCCT